GTCTCTTCCTAACCATCCTCTGTCTCATACAAATGTGTCTCCATCTCTCTGCAGCTGCACACACACGGTCAAAGACCACTTTCTGCAGCTCCACTCCAGGGTATATGGTTCTTTAATGAAGACAGGAATAATGATTATGGATATTTTAAAACCGTCCGACGGGCAGAAGCCCCCATTGTCTGCGCTCACAAGATCCTGTCAGATTGTGTGTTGGAGACGAAGAAAATCTGCATTACTGCCTTATTTCTATTAACTAATTTGTAGGAAGTGATGATTAAATTTAACAGTTGTTTAATATTATAAACTGTAGCTTCTAATGTTAGGCTGTAATCTGAAACTTGAATAAATTTCTGATGAAACTCGTGAAGTTCGAACACAGAGACCGCCTGAAACAAACTTTAAATCAAAAGAAAGGTTAAAGCTTCTGCCAGTGGCTTATTAGGGTCAACATGGTAACCACACACCTCTCTCGTTCTCCCTGACAAGATTGCTAATAAATGGCAAATAGAGCCTCAAACATATGAGGTGAAAATAAAATGTTAAAAATGTCACATTTTCATTATTTAGCTCACTTTGAGTGTAAAATCTTAGTTAAAATAATTATGCTAACATTTTTACTGGTTTTTAGCCACTGGACGTACATTTTGCTAGTTTTTAAACTAAATTTTCATAATGAATAGTAGCTAAATCCTAAATCTAAACGTAAAAGTTAAATGTTGAGACTAAGTTTACATTTAAGATTTTTGGAATGGAATACAGCCTTTTCAGTTGGTGCTCAGCTCTTGTTGTGATGTCATCATCCTGCGACGTAAGTAAATAATAACGCTGCTAATGCTGCTGAAGATGGCATTTTAAAATTTAAATTCAACATGTGGTAATTGAAAACAGTATGGGTAGTGCTTGTGGTCCAGCAGTGCAGCTTGGACACTGGGTTCATCATCTGCAAGTTTGATATCTTATAGGGAAGCGTTAGCAGAATTAGCAGTGTTAGAGTTAGCGGCTGTGTCCAAAACGACAGGCCGGGTCCTCCGGAGGACCCAGACTACCCGGTCGAGGCGGGCCGGGTCC